TGCAATCATTCGGCCGGCCCAGGCATTTCCCAGCTGTTGTTTTGCCGGCGGAAGAGTATCTATGATTAGTGCTCGGCAACATGCCTGTACTATCCAAAATGTTAGAATGGAAAGAATCCTTATTTGAGAAAATGTAAATTACCTGAGTTGACAGCAAAATCAGTCACAAAAATTGATATCACTGCAATTACAATAGTGATTGTGGTCGCCTATAGATGCTGTCAGTAAACAACAAGCCTTGTATAAATACTGTAGTTTAAACTTACCTTTTGTTCCTCAAAATTGAAAATGTCTGTAATATCTTTAGCCCATGCCATAATACAAAGTCCCAAAGAAACAATTACTGAGCCAACCAGCATTATAGGCCTTCTTCGTCCGTATTTTGATGTTGAGGAGTCGGCAAGAACGCCAATTATGGGCTGCATGGTGAGGCCCGAAAGGGGACCGGCAATCCAAACAAATGAAAGCAGTGATTTTGACATTCCTAAAGACAGAAGGTAGACGTTCACATATGACATTTCCACTCCGTAAAAAGCACTAACAATTCCTTATTAGTTTTTATACATTTTTGAATCACAGTAAATTGAGAAACGAGTTAGGTACATATCCATGTGAATTGCAAGCCGGCGACGCAAATAGTCAACAAGATCATTTGAATGGTTTCAGTTGATCCTTCGATCTTTGGATATCCCATCCATTGCGCTCGTGATAACCGATCGCCAGAAGAAGCATTGGGCATTATGTTGGTAGTTTAGATATTATAATATATAACCAGAAAATGTGAACAAAAGGAATTGAAACTCCAGAAGGGGTTGTATTTTTATCGAAAGGTACGTGAGCCTCAAGATTGGTATAGATTTGGGAATACCCCTTACCCTGTTAATTTTACTTTTTCTGCTCGAAAAGTTCAAGTCAAAAGTTCCTGACTTTGCTTTCAAATAACTCCGAGATAGTTCTATATTGACGACGATACTGGAAATTTCAAAGAAATACAAAGAAGAAAAAACTAGCTATGGATAGATCTCAGATCAACTACTTTATGGTGGCAGACGACTTGGCTGAATCTAAGCAATATTCAACCAAGTTTGCCAAATGTATGTTCAGCATTAAATTTACTAGAGGTGAAAGCTATGTTGCTAACGGATCTTTTCAGTGATAGAGGATGATAAAGCAAAACTGGTTGAACTTGTTCAGCTTTTGGGTGACTACCTGATAGAAGACGATGGTACTATTAGGGCTAAAGGTATGCAATAATCATGAGATCTTACACCTGCTTCATGCTAACCATTTCAGCCACCAGATGTATCACAGAGACTTTACAGGCATTACCGTCTAATAAATTGACTAAACAGCAAGGTATGTAAACCAGAATATCGTTTTAACTATCGATCTAACATTTTTACACCAGTATCGGTTGTGGTTTCTTTTTTCTGTAACAGATTGGAAGATGATGACTCCATCCGTGAGGTCTGTGATGGCTTGATCTCTCTTATTGGAATGTCAGCTTTTAGCGCAACTAACGTTAGAGAAATTCTTCAAGGGTATGTTCAATCGTTATTGCCATTTCCTTTTATTATTATTAACAGTTGGATACCAGTCTCAAGGAATCAATCAACATGAAATCATTCAACCAAGCTACTCGGCACAAGATCTTTTCTGTTATCGATACCATGCTCAAAACACAGTTTGACTATTTAAAGTCAATTAGCAACCTTTTTATTGAAACTTACATTCATCTCACGTCTGGTGAAAAAGATCCCCGGAACCTCATGATATCTTTTGGTATTTCAGCTGTCATCTTGGAGAACTTTGATGTTTCCAAGTTTTCCGATGACCTTTTTGATGTCACTTTTTGCTACTTCCCAATCACATTCGAACCACCAAAGAACGATCCTTATGGAATTACATCTGACGATTTACGCAAATCTTTACGCAGAAGTATTTCAGCAAATGGCAGCTTCGCAAAGGATGCTTTTCCCGGGCTCTTAGAAAAGCTTACTTCAAGCTCATACAAAATTAAATCAGACACTTTAGTTACCATTGCGATGTGCGTCAAGAGATATGAGCCAGATACTGTGGCTCCTTACTGGAGAGAGCTTTGGGATGGACTGAAGTTTGAGGTCATTCATGGCTCCGAAGAAAACACTCCCGAACTGACTTTAGATGTACTGAGAGAGCTCGCGTCAACCTTGTCAAGAGCATCAGACCAAGCCAACTACGAGTCATACCTTGAGGCTGTCATCACTGAGACCAAAGAGAATATCACAGAGATCCAGAATAAGAAGGCTTTGCCCTCTATTCGTCTTGCTTCGGGAATTGCTGCTAGCTCTGAAAGTGTTTTTAACAAGATTTCACAAGCTATTCTGACAACTATTTTAGATGCTTCTGCTAAGTCACCAACCATTGCTGCCCAGAGAATCATTCTTGAAATGATTGGTTGTTTTGTAAAGAGCTCTATTAATTTTTCCGGCGAGAACCTGCTGGTTCCTTACAAGGATTCGATCTTGGAATTTTATAGCAAGTCTCTAATGGGTGCAGCAAAGATTGAACTCACTCTCAGAATCTCTGCCATCCAACATCTATCAGAATTGACCACTGTTAAGAATTTGCTAAGCTCTGAAGAAGTTGGATTGATCGTTCAGTACCTTAATGATGTTCTTTTAGATGATAACAAACAAGAGCTCAAGGAAGAAGCCCTGAAGGCGCTGGTTGTTATTTCTGATCTTAATGTGGAGCACATTCTGACTTTGTCATTCCCTGCGTTACTGGCCAGACTTCCTGATACGGAGAGCACAACTGAGGAAGGACTGAAAGAAATTGAAGATATCCTTTATTCACTAGCACATATCACTGTTTCAAGATCTACTCTTGAGGCTTTGTCGGTTCGTCTGTTGAATAAGTTAGATGTCGTCCTAAGAAATAATTGTACTGCCAACTACCCCCTTGCAATTTTCACAACACTACTTTCAGTTGTTGCTAAGCTTAGTGATAAGCCTGAAGAGGATATTTCAATTCTGATTATTAGATTAATTCCTGAAATTTTTACTCGGTTCATCGAAAACTATGAGAAAAACAAGCACGGAGTTTTGTTTGAAAACAGCGTACTCCAAACTGCCAGCATTTTAATAATGCTGATTATTCGTGCTGCTGATGTTCAGAAGCAAACACAATTTGTCGAAAACCTTTTCAAGACTTTTTGGCTTTCTGAGTCCTCCAAGCTTATAACCTCCAAGTTTTTCAATCCTCTCAGCTTTGCGCCTTTTGCTCCTAACTCAGAACCGACAAACATCACAATACTATTTACGGCAGCTTTAGCCCCCATCAAGAAGGATGTGTCTTTGACTGTGCCTGCCATGGACATAATCAACAGGGTTGTGGAAATTACCGGTCGTACTACTGATCCTGCTTTACGCCTGAATTACTTAAGATTAATATCTTTGGTAGTCAATAAGTGGGTACCCGCAAAGTCTGATGAGATTAAAGTGCTGGCTGATAATCTTGTTAAAAACTTTTCTAGCAAAAACCCTCAAGAGTCTCTGGGAAGCTTGGAAGTTTTCACTTGGATTACCAAAGCTTTCGTCATCAAGGCTGATGCCTATGGTTTCGAATTCACCAAGATTTTGATTGAATTGCTAGCCGACCCTAAGCTTGGTGGGTTTGTAAGCAAGGCCCTTGACATTGTGGGCGATGATGATGCAATCTTCTCTAAAGAGAATAATTCTGTCAATAGACTTCTCTACAAGCAACGATACTTTACCTTTGTTTTGGACCCTCTGGTGAATGGCTTTAAAAGTCATGTATCTTCTCCTGACATCCAAGCTAATTACCTCGTAGCCATGTCTGGTGTGCTCCGTCACATGCCACCAAAGGTCATCAGCAATGATGTGCCAACGTTTTTCCCTCTACTTTTGCAGTCTTTGGTTATTAAGGATAGTAAGGTTCGGGAAGCTAGCATTTCTACTATCACTGCAACCTTGCACGAGTCTTCTGAGGTGGTGGCCCAACACTTGTCTTCTCTCATCCCACAGCTACTTGCTGCAGCTTCAGAAAAGACTTCGCCTTCCTCTAAGGTTAGAATTGCTGCATTAAACTGTCTTGGTGAGTTCCCCTCATCCATACCAAGAAAGGATATTGAGAGTTTCAGACTCTCGATCATTAAGGGACTCAGCGTGCCATTGGACGACAAGAAGCGTGATGTTAGACGGGCAGCTGTCAATGCAAGACAGAAATACTTTGAGCTCAATGCTGCTGAGTAGGGATCCGACTCAGAACTTGGAAATTTCACTTTTTTTTTACGGGTTTCTTAAGTAAACAGGTACTACTATATATATATGAATAACAGTCATTTCTAATATACCCAATGTTATTAATAAACCAATAACAGTGATAAATAAATAGATAATCAATTGTCCTTACATCAAATGGTTACATACAAAATTACAAAATAAAACGATATACAAAGAAGACATGAAATTTCAAAAACATTTGTCTCTATGAGACTGGCAAAGTAGCGGTGTCAGCGCGCGCAATAAGTTCAGACGTTCGATGGCGCCGAATTTTCCATAAAAGTATCCATGTGCTAAGGGAAACCTGAATGACGCCGAATTACACACAAGTTATAAAACAACACCAGGATGCCATGACCCGTACGAAGTTGGAGTAAATTGCCAAATATATGATGAGGCATGCTGCTCATGAAAGATTTCAGTGGATTAGGGTACTTTCTTCTATATAGCTCTCTCTTGACAATAGAGTGGTAGTGGTTAATTTCACCTGGCATGTCATAACCTGTACCCATGGGGAACCCCAGTCTCTAGTTTTTTCTTTCCCGCAAGCGCCATAAACAAGCAAATCTATTCTTTTCTTACTAACAAAGTAATATAACTAACCTAAGACTGCACTAGGGAGTACAGAATGGAATTCGTACAAATGTTTAATATTTCTCTCAATTTGATCAATCAATAATTGTGAGGATTGCCTTAGTAAATCTGGGAAACTCGGCTCCATTGGCCAAATGGTAAGGCATTCGCCTCCTAAGCGAAAGACTGCGGGTTCGAGTCCCGTGTGGAGTGCTTTTTATGTAGCTCTCATTGATTTTTATACATCTTTGTTTTTTTTTCTAATGTGTATTGATATATCAACTGTCATGTTGTCTTCGGATATAAACTTGTAGTTTTTTTTTTTTTTCGAATTGACACTAATAAAGTTAAGACCATGGTAATTATAGGACAGCCCGGTAGTACACAGGTACACAGGTCTTGGCGGTCCGGGAAAGTGTTTTCAAATGAAGTGCATAAGCAAGCGAAATCATTAGTGTAAATGCGGACAGCTGAAAACAGTTGAGCACGTTCTCTATTAGCGTTTTGGAGGAGCTTGTTGAGGCTTTTACCTGATCGTTAATCTCTGGTACCGATCTACTGGGTGTTATATATCGCAGGTTTCCCTTAGCACTTGAAATTATATATGATGAATCCTGTGCTATCGGACGCTTGAACTTGTAATACGCGCTCGCGCCAATACCTTACCAGTCTCACAGATACAAACAATTTAAATCATATCTTTCTGTATATCATTTTATTTTATTTTATGTTGTTTTGTAACTATTAATGTAAAGACAATAAACCAATATTCTATCTCTCTATCTGTCTATATATTAACAGATAACAAGTTTACTGTTCTTACATTAAATAGCTACAAAAAAACATTAGAGAAGTCAATATTGTATATATATACTTTCGTTAATCTCTAACTGAAAGTCAGATTAGTTCCTAATTAGCATGGCGTTCTTAACCATATATAGTAAAGTACCCAAGTTTCGTTTAAACCAAAAATCAGCGCTTGCCATAGAAGAGATACTGGTTATAGTCACTCTCAGCTGTCTAAGTAGATCCACTTGCTAAAAATATATCCAGTATATTCTGGATTTGACTCTTATATATTCGGGCCAGAGATATTTGAAATTCAGAATCAAGATGATGGGTATTGTCTAAGTTAATCGATAACTATCTTTCATATTTTCGTTAAGTTGTTTCTACAATAACGTGTAATGTCAACCGTGAGTTCAATGAGGAAAATGATGTGAATGATAATGATATTAATTAATACAAGAAATGAGAAAAATACTAAAAAACTTATAAGACATATATAAATTGATTTTCCCTGTAATAAATGCGAAAAAGGTGGTGAATGGGATGAAGTTGATAAATATGTAGAAGTTAGTCAGCCAATTTCTCGACAACCAGTCGGGCATTATCGACAGTGAACTGAATCAGGCCCTCAAAGTTCAGCGACTCGCCCGCAACCTGATTTTTGGTGCCGTTGAAGTACTGCAAAAGGAGGGACTGGTTAATCTCAAGCTCGAGTTCCTGGGTGACAACGGTATCGTCAGTCTTGACTCGCGTAAGGTCGACCTGCAAAGCCTTATGGATGTATGAGCTGCGGCGTTTGGCACGCTTTGTGCTAGAAATAAACTTATCTTTATTGATCACCGACTCTTTGTCGGGAATTTCAATAGAGACAGTTATTCTAAAGTCATGATCACTACGAGGCGAGTGGATTAAAAGTTGGTCTATCTTCTGCTTAGTGATGCGCTCAGTCTGCTTAAACTCTTCGTTATAAGTGATTCGCAGATTGTTGCTTGAGCCGCGCTCCGCCATAATGATGTCCGTCGTCTCACGTTCGGGAAAGCTGGTTATGGAAGTTGGACTTGATGGGTTGCGCTTGCCCTCCTTCGCCAAGTTGTCAAAGAGACTCTTAGCCTTGACAAACTCAGGTTCAGTCAAGCCAGGTTCAAAAAAGGTGCTCGTCTTAGCATATTCAAAATCAATAATGGTATCAGTCACGATCGGCAGTTTGACGCGCTGCCGAGTGCTCTTATCGTATATCTTGCCCAGTTTGATTTCCACTTCAACATGTTTTTTGTCTTCCTCTAAATTAACTAAAGTAACATAGAGCCAAGTGGTTATCTTTCGAGTGAGATCGTTGAAGGGCAAAATCCCACTTAGACTTGAAGGCAGGTTGACAACCGAGTTAGAGTAGCCCGACCTTCTTCCACCCAAAAGATTGCTTCCACCACCTCCCCTGTCATTGGAAGATACCGTCACAACTGGTTTCAGGTTGTGAGCAGTGCGATAGTTTTGCGCCCAGATCGGAATAGGATTGTTGTAGACATCATATGCATTGCTAATTGGACGAACCTCAGTGATGTTTTCTTCGGTAACCGATCCTTCAGCAACCGATCCTTCGGCAACCGATCCTTCGGTTTCGTAAGAGTCACTGTTGTCAGGACTCGAAATAATTTTTGAATCCTCTAAGCTGTTTGTCTCAATATCAGATTCTTGCTTTGAAAGACCTGTAGACTTGGGATCGCTCTGATCTAACTCTGACTCAATTTTAGGCTCAGGTGTCGCTTCTGATTTGCGAACTTCATCTGTATTGATGTCAGATTTTTCAGGTTGGACTTCCTCAAGACTATTTTCAACCTTCTCCGTCTTCAGGTCTTGAGTCGCATCAACAGAAGTTTGTTGAATTATAGGTTGTTCATCAACTTTAAGATCATTTTTACGATCTTCAATCTTAGCCTTAGATGGCACATTCTCAGACTGTTCAACCATTTTTTCAGTCTGGACACTCTCTAGTTGTGTTTCTGGCTTTACTATAGATGGAGATGCTGGTACAGCCTCCAGTACCGTATCTTTTTCTATTGAAGCATTGGCCTTCGTTTCACTAGAAGGTTTGAGCTGACTTTTCTCTTCTGCCAGCGCTGCTGGCAATAAATTGGGTTCGGGTTCCGAGATTACGTCAGATTGAGATGGTTTGCGCTGTATGGATTCAGCCGGCGTTACGGACTCTACTGGTTCGGTGAGTACACTTGGTTGTAGCTTTGGCGCAATGGAAGATGATTCAGTCGATACTTTTTGGGGGAGAGATGCTGGCAACTTAGGCTGATCAGATAGAGGAGCATCAGAATACTTTTGCGAGTCATTTTGCTTTCGTAGATCTGATGTTGAATGTGTCTTTTGTCCATCGACTGGGGTTGCCGGCGGTGGAAGATAAGAACCATTATTGTTGGACTGATAAACAGAACTTTTTAGAATGGGTGAGCTGACTGGATTTGAAGCAACTGATGAACGACGTGACAAATCCGGGTTCAGAATGTTAGCAGTTGGATAAATTTGAGACGGGCTACTATTAATGCTCGAAATGGAAAGACGGCTGTCTGATCGATATTGCACATTGCCTTCGCGAGACTGGCTTGGGATAGATGAAGGAGGAGGGCTGCTGCTGCTGCTAGCTTTCGGACCCTCATTGTCGGTCTTAATCTGAGAATATGCAGACGATGTTGATGTAATGATGTTAGCAATTGAAGGAGGTGTTGTTCGTTTAGGCGTTGTTTGTCTGAATTCGACTCTTACAGGCGGAGGCGGTGAGGATGCTTCACGGTTAAGAATTGACGAAACATTGTTTGTCGAAACTCCCTCTGAGGTTAATATTGAAACTCTAGAGTGCGGCGAGTGTTGACTTTCGGTGGTCAACATCTTGGTCATTGTTGGACTATTGTTGACGCTTTTCTCTGATGGGACGGGAGATTGGGTAATTGATTGGGAGATTGCGGAGCTTACTGACTGGTCGCGGTGATTTGCCTGATTTTTGTACGGCACAGTGGAAAGCGGGGATGCTGAAACTACATTAGCCGCTGAAGAATACATATGACGATCTGTAGGTGTAGTCGACGAAGCTGAGCTGCTGCTTGGGGTGTTGTCGAGTATACTTGAGATGGAATTCTTTTTCTCACCACGGGGAGGATACCGAAACTCGTCGTCATTCAATAAGGACGACACAGTCTGGCGACGTGATGATGGCTGAATGGGCGATGAGGTAGCAGAATTACCTGAATGAGAACCATGGCGAGATTGGCCCGATTGTAGAGGCTGATCGGTCTTTGCGACAGACTTCTCACTTGGTTCTGATTTCTTTTCCTCTGACGTAGAGGGCCCGAGAATAAGACTGAAGTCCATGAATGCTAAGGACTAATAGTAATAACAATGATAATAGTAATAACAAAAAATATTTGTGAGTGCAATTCAAGAGGTAATAAGCACACGCAGACAAGATTGCGCAAACGTTATGTAGCTTAGTTGGTGTGCAATTGTTGATTTGGTGTCGTGAAATAGAGGCACTGTACAATAACAGACCCTGATGAATGCAGTATCAAGCACACTATAGGTCAAGCACGCAACACGAAATAAGAGAACAAACCAAAATATTCTGGTAAATCTCTACAGTGATTAAAAAAATATTTAGTAAAAACACGGGATATATTAATTGCTTTGACAAAAATAGCGAAATATCGACGCGTTTACAAGATGTTTTTCGTATTTTGAAATCGATTTTAAGAGCTTTGCTTGCTTGGAGAAAGATTTTTTGGAATTTTTTTTTCTATTATCCCATAGAGTTTGTGGGTGCATGGATTTACGCTACAGTCTGGCATATACGCAAGTACGTTTGATCTCCAAACATGACTGGGAAGGGTACAAAGAATACATTGATGTCATGATAATGATAAATAAATAGATAAAATCAAATCAGGTAGAACTGTTTTCCAAGAGCTGATCTACTGCTCTGACTGAAGACGCAACAAAATTTTCAAACGCGAGCCACTTACTGGTCTTATCATTGCATATCGGGTCTTTACGTTTGCACTTTAGAAATAGATCAAGCAGCTTCTTTTGGCTCATTTCAATTTCAACTTCAGTCATTTTTGTGTCTACTTGAGTAATAGAAACGACAAAGTCCTGAAAGCAGAGATTTTCTCTGGCCTTTTCACGCGAAAAATTTAACTTTTGGAGCTCATTTTCCCAGTTTGGGTTGTTGGTGCACTCGAATATAGGTAGCTCTAATGAGATCTTGACCTTAAAGACGCCGGCAGAGTTTGGAAGTACAACAAGCAAAGAATCAACCGTTTTCTTGACAATGACTTCAGATTCATCTCTGCCATTTGTAGATTTGCGGACACGGTCACTCACTCCAGGCAATTTGTAAAACTCGTCTATCTGATGAGCGTGGGAATAAC